GTGTGTGTGTGTGTGTGTGTGTGTGTGTGTGTGCATCCCATGGGGCTGATCTTCATGCTGAATCTAAGTGTGAGTGAAAGATGGGGACCGGAACAACCATTCCGTAACTTTGTTGCCCATCAGAATTGCCTGGGAACCTTTCAGAGTCCTGATGCCCACACTGTCCCCCATGCTCACTAAATCAGAATCTCTGAGGGTGGGACTCAAACATTTGCATTTTTTAAAATCCCCAGGTGATTTCGATGCAGAGGCAGGTTTGAGAGCAGCGGACTGGATGGCTTTTGGTATGTCAGGGTGTTTACAAGAGGGAAACCGTGAGTGACACACAGTGAGGAGAGGAGCCTTTTTGCAGGACAGCTGCAGCTGGTTTGGGGGGATGGCCTGCAGAGGTAGGGAGTGACACTACCTATTTCCAAAGACTGTTACCCATCACGGCACATGTTGGAAATGATATAATCCAATCTCTTACAGTTTCAGAGACCCAGAGAGAGGCAGTGACTTGCCCGAGATCACACAGCAGTCAGCAATCCATCCAAGTAGAACTCAGATCTCCTGACACCAGGCTAGACTCTTGCCCTAGCATGAACTGCAAGGTGGTGTGTAAGTGTGTGCGTGTGTGTGTGTGTGTGTGTGTGTGCGTGTACACACATGTGTATGTGCATGGGTGTGGGGTATTCGTGTGTATATGTGTATGCACACACGTGTGGTGTGTGCCTACAGAGAACTTCACATGAAGATATCTAACATTCTGCCATCTTACTTTGTCCAAACGTCACACACCTTCTAGCGGTCATACCTCATGGCAGGGGTAGTTGCCAGATTTTTAGGTCTGGAACAATTGGCTTCTTGATATTTACAATTTGGTGTGTGGGGAGAAACATTGATTTCTATATTTTTTTAACCTCTGCCAACGAGCTTCGCAAAGGAGCAGGCTCCAGGGAAACCACATTTGCCATGAAACATTCTGGAATACTTGGCATTTTTGCATGTGTTGTAACAGGCAAACGGAAAGTCTGGTAAAACCTGAGCTTCAAGCCAAGATACGTTGTAAAGAAACAGGAATTGGTCCATTTGAAGTTTAATTAGGATGTTTCGCGGCTGGAATAAGCTGAAGCCCAGACACCCTTCACTCGCTCCCGTGCCAGCTTCAGTCCCAAGAAAACAACCCCAGAAGTGATGCCTGTTTATGGTCTGCGGTCAGGAACAGACAACTTTCAAGAGGGTAGAATGAGCAGACCCTCACACAGGCAGAGGCTTATGCTGAGACACAGCCAAATGCAAATACAGAAGTGCCAACAAACCTCCACCTGTACACGCCACGGCCACCAAGCCAGCACAAGCCTGCCCCCTAGGAGCTCCTGGAGTAGCAACTGCCCAGTGAGGGGTAGATGCAGGATGATGAAGGAGCGGGGTGGACAGACACCTCCCCTAGCCTAAGGTCGCCCCAACCCTATCTCTGATCAGGGAGAAATTCAGGTTTGGCCATGTTAAATAGGAAATGGTACTTGGGAGAAGAAAGGAGAAAATTGAAAGCAAAAATCACAGATGTCTAAGCAGGTAGTGAGACACACAAGAATGACGGGCTAGTCTTGGGACTTGCCTGGAAGGAGAAGGGATGTGGAACAGAAAGGTAGTGTCATTAAACTTGGTGTGTGATGAGTATTCATGGCAGAGGCAGTGGTGTGTGTGTGTGTGTGTGTGTGTGTGTGTGTGTGTGTGTGTTGAAGTTGGATCAAATGAGATGTGGGTTAAGTTTTAGGAAGAGATACCAAGTGAAGAACCTGAATTGTGGGGGGGCGCCTGGGTGGCTTAGTTGGTAAGTGTCTGACTTCAGCTCAGGTCATGATCTCACGGTTCGTGAGTTCAAGCCCCGCGTCGGGCTCTGGGCTGATAGCTCAGAGCCTGGAGCCTGCTTCTGATTCTGTGTCTCTCTCTCTCTCTGCTCCTCCCCCACTCACACTCTGTCTCTCTCTCAAAAATAAATAAACATTAAAAAAATTTTTTAAAGAACCTGAATGTGGAAAAGTTTCCCTCCAGGCTGCCTAACCAGTGCAATAGCCCTTGATCCCCAGACAGGGAAGTTCATGATCAGCACCTGCAGGGCCTTTCCCACCTCAGGCAGGTCAAATTTCCCTAGCAGACATCCTTGGCTGAGCAACCCCATCCCCTGGGTTTCCTCCCGCTTCCCACACAGTCTGAGAAGACACCCTGATGCATTCAAGCACGCTCTGGAAGCACAGGAGAGTAATACTTAGTGGCCAGTTCACAAGAAGACCCACACTGGCAGGCAGGTTCAGAGCAGTCTCCTTCTGCAGGGTCTCATGACACCAGGGCCCTCGCCTCCCTCCCTGGGGACCACAACGAGGCATCTGTCTCATCTGCTGTGTTTGGGGACGGCATGGGTGGAAATGGGTATTGTGTGGCAGGCTCCTTCCACAGGACTCCTTTTTCATGGGTGGCTCAATTTCCCCCTCACCGACAAGACAGAAGAGAACCCTAGTGGGGAGGACTCTGGGGAAAAGCTGGCTCTATTACCAGAAACACCACTGGCCGATTCCTGGCTGTCCCTCATGGCGTACAAGGGGTGGCGGCTCCCCGCCAGGCAACCTGTGAGGTGTGGCTGGCCTTCTTTGGAGCGGCTGTTCTTAACCAGAGGAGCCCCGGTGGGATTCAGGGGTCCCAACAGAACCAAACACCCTAGAGAATTCGACTCTTCTCTCTTGAAGAGTGTCCAGTGTGTCCAGCAGGGTGAAGGCAAGGCCCTGGGGTATGGTCCTTCTACAACTGCCAACTTGCCCCTCCCAGCAGTCACAGCAGGTGCAGGGGATATAAACCAACACAAAAGGAGGGAGCAAAGGTAGTAGGAATGGCCACTGGGCACATAGGGAACGCTTGGGCGGTTCTGATGACGAGAAGGGGGAAATCTGATGAAAACAAAGCCAGATAAACCAGAAACACCAGCTCCAAGTGATCTAACCGCCTCTTCCACCTAGGATGCCCCTGGGGAAACTAGCCCCTGTGGGAACCTCGCCAGAGCTGAGGGTAGAGGGGACACACCTTCTGGGTCAGTCCTTAGAGAGGCCTATTTCTGGAAAGATACGCATTAGCCAAGGAAGTCAACTGTCGCCTGGCTGAAGCCCCCTGGAGGACCTCGGGATGGAGAGAATGAGATCCCACTGGATAGATGTTACCCACAAAGGTCAAGGCCAGAAACAGAGCACTGCATGATGACAGACACTCGCTGGCATCCCTGCAGGTGGGAAGAAGAACGGGTGTTTAGAGCACCTGGCATTTTTGAGATTTTCTTGGGATGGCGTGGGAGTGGAAAGGGATAGGTGACTCTTATGCAGAGAAGAGAGTAGGTTGCCTTGAGCTGTGACTGGACCGTGGCCAGAAATGGGGACACTTTTTTGTTTTTTTAATCTCGAACCTACTTCCAAAAAAGGCTAGTATGCAGCTATCAAACCATAAATGAAAGAGACGGAGGCAAATGCTCTGGAGTCTGCATGACCTTGAGTGGAAGTCTGGCAGGAGAGGAACCAGGAGTCCAGGCCAGGGCAAAGGGCACACTGAGCAGCAAAGACCTTTAGGTTCGGGGTACAGGGAAGTCCTCAGCCAGCCATTTTCTCTCCCTCAGCTCTACACGGGGGCCACTCAGGAATGAGAGAGACAGGCAGAGAGAAAAAGCCAGAGGTAGGAAATGTGAGCTGCTGCGTGCGTGCGTGCGTGTGTGTGGTGGGAGGTGGGCAGGGGTCTGTCTCCTTTGCCTCCTTCCTCTTTACTACCCCCACACCATGTACACTCTCTTAGGGGCCAGACTGCATAAATAAGTCTTGGTTGACCTGTACTGGTTTGCAATCTGTGGAATCTTTGTTGGCACTTGCGAAATTTAGCTAAACGAATAAATAAACAGCACGATTGCTGGTTGGTGTGTAATTCTTACTGCGAATGCTTTGTATTAAAGTATCTGGCCTAAAAACTCTCCACAAATGGCCCTGTCAGATATCGTACCTTCCTTCTTGAGTTGCAGGGGGCCGATCACTTTTGCCTAGCCTCCCAGGCTTGGGGGACCTCAGCACAGGGTGAAGGGGTGGGGTCGATGGCTGGTCAGGCCCTGCACCTAAACTAAACAAGTGCTCACCCTGAGGGCTCAGCCCTGGGGGCCTTCTGGGATTCCCAGCCTTGCCAACCTCAATTCCTGCACAAGCGTCCCCCTGACACTTGTTCCTTCCTACTTAAGCCAAGTGAGGTAGGGAGAATCTGGTGGGAAAGTGAGTTTCTGCATTAGCTACTGAGGAAACAGGGCATCCCCAGACCTCCTTCCCGGTCCTCAGGGAGCCTCAGGGAGCGCGCTGGTCCTGGGGTGACCTTCCAACCAGACTTGCCTCTTCCAGGTGTGAGGCTCCCGCTAGCGTGCTGCGGCACACCACCGGCTTGTCCCTGCTCCCCGCGGCACCTCCCCGTCCCGCAGCGCCTCTCCTGAGCACCTACTGGGGTCACAGTGACTCCCTTGCCCGCCGGCAGCCACACACTGGGGAACCTGCCGGCCTGGGCGCTGGCTACCTGCCGCTGGCGCAGTGAAAAGCAAAGCCTCAAGGACAGGACGGGGAGTGAGGGGGGCACACAGCCCTGGGGAGCCCTGGGGGGCCGAGGCAGAACAAGAGAGAGGAGGGGACTGTTCCTGAGCAGTTGGGGGAAGAAAGCCTTCCCCGTTCTGGGCCTGGACAAGGGCCCGCGGGCGATCCTCAGCCTCCGCGAGCTGGCGAGACGCCCGTGGCGGTGTCCCCCGCCGCGGGAGCCCACCTTCGCGCCCCCCAGCTTCTGGGGAGCTCGCCAGCCGGTCGCCGGCCGCCGCTCCACCCGGTCGGACGGGCCGCGCAGACCCCCCCCCCCCCCCCCCCCTTCAAAGTGCCGCCCCGTGCTGCCACCTCCCGGCTGTCCCCGCAAGCCCGGACGAGGTGCAGCAGGCGCACGGGCCGCGCCGGGCGCCGAGTCTTTACCTCGGTTGGAGTGGCTCAGGGTGGACGACTGGGAAGACTTGGACTTCTGCCGCTTGACGGTCATCATCACCTGCTCCTGCACGCGCTGCCTGCCCGATGCTGGTTCTTCATCTTTTTGGTCCGACGGCAAGCTTGCCAGCGTCGAGTTAACCCGGTCGGGGAAGCATTCAAGCGGTCTTGAGTGGCGAGTGGTTCATGGCGGCGGAGGCGCGGGCCGGGCGTGCGAGAGCCGAGGGCGGCGAGGGGCGGCGAGGGCGGCGGGCGGGGCGGTTGCGGCTCTCCATGCTGGCGCTCAGCGGCTCCCGAGGGCCAGGAGGAGGTCCGCGGCTCCCTCAGGGCGGCGGCCCCGGCGCCTCCACCCCGGCTCGTCCCTCTGCTGGCACTGGTGGGGCCCGCCTCGTCAGATTCTCGCTGGATATACCACCCCTGCCCTGCACCACCACTCCACCAGGCTGCGCGCCTCCCCGCCAGGTGCCGATGGTGGCGCTGCCGCCGTGGAGCGGAGCCTTTGGGAGGGGGTGGGGCAGGGCCGCGAGCCCGGAGAGGTGGGGCCTTCGGCGTCTTCTTGCCTTCTCTCTGCTCCTTGCTCTCGCTTCCCTTCCCCGTGACGTGCGGGAGGTGAGGCCCCAGGGAGACGCCCCTCCGTCCTGTTCCTGCTCGCTCACGGAGAAACTATGTGCTCAGCCTCAGAACCCAGGAGACTTTCTCTCTTTGAGGAAAGGAGTCTTTCTTGATAAGTTCACCGCCCCCCCCCCTCCTCCATCCCAGAGAGAGAGGCTGAAATCCACCTCTTGTCCTGAGGTCATGGCGGAGACCAGCCCCTAGGGTGGTGGTCAGGGGCTTGCAGGCTTTCTGCTGAAGCACAGCCCCTGTCTAAAGGGAGGCTGTGGGGAAACAACCCACCTACTGAAAGGGAAGACCAGTCGACCCTGAAGGGACTCTGGGGGGGCACAGCTCCCTCAAGGCTGGGAGCAGATCTTGGATACAAACTACAGAATAGTACACCTGTCATGAGCGGCACGCCAGAGGAACACGCCGTGTGAACAGTGGATTCTCTCTGAAACTGAGACTTGGCCCGTAAAATGGTGCTGGCACATATTAGGGGCTCAATAAAAATATTTTTGAATGGATGCATGAATGAAAGCTAGCCAGTTTAAGGTAAATTAAGTCTACTTGTATCCTACCCAGAGCCTTCCTGGAAACCTGGAAAGCTGTCTGTCTCATAAAACTACCCTACTGTGGACTTACTATTCTGGGACTTCTGTGACATTCTCCTATACACCCAACCCCCCGGGACACACGCAGAGTGATGTTTCCTTCGTGTCGCCTGGTCCCAGGCACGAAGGTAGCTCATACCAGGGGAATTTGGTGTGTAACAGAAGCCGAGTATTTTAAAAACTACGTTGACAGAAATCTTTCTAAAAGGCATCACACCCTGCCTGTTCTCTGTAAGTAAAAGATGAGCATATAATTTATGCATTTCTTGATGACTCAGGATTCTCATTGTGGGCACCGATTCTGAACTCTCTAGGTGTGAAGTCCCATCAGCTGCTTAGTTTTGGGGTGTCCTCCAGCTGTGTTATGCTATTGCAGCTGTCCCTTTAGCCGTCCTCTGTATTTGCCACCCACAGCTCACATACTTCATTTTTAGTTTTCCCTTCTAATTTGCCACGGAAGGGGCCATCAGAGTCTAGGCTTGTTGGGAATTATATGAGAAAGGATGGCAAAGCTTGAGTGACAATCTCAGGGACCACATGAGGGTCATTTGCTCATTTCCTGAGAAGTGGGTGTGACATGCCCCTACAATTCCCCATAATGCATTCCTGGTAGTTATGTACAGAGCAGAATATTGTGAAGCAGATCACAATTTCCAGTAGAAATAGTTTTATAATTGAAGGTTGTATTCCTAAGCACTTAGCATCAAAAAAACCAGAGGTGTGACCAACAATATGTCATAGATACACGAAAGTTCAACACTCATAGACCTCTATCATCTCTTAAAATTTTTAGATTCTGCTTTGAGCCACAGACTGTCAGGGTTGGATTGATCCTTGGACATCATCCAGCCCAGGCTCCAAATTTTTCTGATGAGGAGAAGCGGTAGCTTGCCCTCAGTCACCCAGTTAATATATGGCAAAGCTTTTGTTCCTATCAGGCCTGGTGACTCTTGGGCCACTGCTCTTCCCTCCACACTATCCAACCTCCTTTATGAAAGTCCTATAAAATGGGCATTAAAGTACAGTGCTCACTGATTATATAAGGGCCCCAATGCATCATAAAGTGCACATGACAGCACATAAAAATACAACTCCATTGTATCATGCATTTGGCCTATCTAAAACCTAACATGCTAGATATAATAAGTGTTAATTATGTCTTTAAATAATGATAATTTTGCTCCCTCTAAGTTGTGGAAGGGCCCTGAGGAGGTGATTGGTGCACCCTATATTGCTATGAAAGGCCATCCTTATCCCTCTGGAAGCTGAAACTGATCATCTTTAAAATTGTTTCCAGATACGAAGTTCAGTTTTTCTAGATACTTCTCTATTATTTTGATACTGACATTATTTTGATATATTGAGAGCAATACCCAACACTTGCTGTGCTCCTACAAGCACCAGGCCTATAAACCAGGCACGGTTCTGGGCCCTTTACGTGGATCATCGCGTTTGAATCCTTACAGTGATCCTAAAAGTATCAGGATCGGTGCCATCATCTTTCCTTTTCAGATGACGAAACTGAGACTCAGTGAGGTCACCAAGCTGGCAAGTGGCAAAGACAAGGCCACACACAGGCACCCTGAATCCAGAGTCTGGGTGCCCCACGGCAGTGCCCCCTGATTTCCCTGTGACAAGCATCTGGCTCAAAAGCCTTCCATGGATCAATCTTTTATCAGCATCTATTACCATCATGTGGCATGAAAGTCAGGCCAGTTGTGTCACTAACTAGCTTCGTGATGCCAGACAAGTCCCTTCCTCTGTCCTGGAACCAAATCTGTAAAGAGTGGAGGTAGATTTGATAGCTCACCAAATCTGCCCTCACCCTAACACTATGGAATTCTGATGTCAATCGTGGGGATATGTAGGGCAGGAGAACCTTGAACCAGCTCTCCTGGACAATATTTTCTTTGTCTCTCCTACCCCACACGAGCGCGAAGGGAAGCCTGGCAGTGGACAGAGGGAGTGCTAGGATCTGCAGGACCAATAACAGGTCCACTTGGTATATATTATTTGATATAATCTTTCCAATAGCCCTTGAGGAAGTATTATTTTGCAGAAGCGGAAACACAACAATGGTGAAGCCTTGATTTGAAACAAGGTCTGACTTCTCCCTGGGAGAAGGAAAGAAAGGGGATCAGTCACACATTCTGACCCAAAGTGAGCGAGGTATATTCAGGCTAGAAAGGTAGGTTTGGGGTTCAAGTGTATGGTTTGGAGTGAGCGGGCCAGGGTTTTTCCCATCACCTCTCTCTTCCCATCCCTCCTGGGATCCTGCCTCAGAAACAGGCCAGAGAAGAGGGTAGCCCTCCTAAGGGGAAGGATAAATGTCAATGAGACTCTGTCATGTGAGCTGAGCTCTGAAATGCTTTCAGGTGACTTTTAGAATGTATTTGTAGATGGTTAAAAAAATGCTAACAAATATGGGTTAATTTGAGTTTAGAGGGTGTGGGATGGTTTGGGAAAAGCATCTCAAAAGAAGTTAATTTTGATTTGATTCTGGAACAAAGTGAGTCAACCGTCATCCTAATAGGAGTTAGCATAAATGAGTGTGGACGGGGTTCTGCTTCTCTCTGCTGCCTTTCCCACAGCGCTGCCTGTGACCCACACGTCACCTGCAGTGTGCTCTTAGAAGCGAAACGTCCTGTGACCTCAAGTTTCATTCATTAACATGTAGAATATGGACTTATTTAGTCGGCAAGTATTTATTGAGCCCCTACTATGGGACAGGCCTTATCCTAGGCATTAGGGATACAATGGTGAAGAAGACAAAGTCCTGCCTTTATAGAACTTACAGTCTAGAGATGGGAGGAGCGGGGGCTGGGCCAGGTGGGAGGACTGGCCCAGGTGAAGAAGACTGAGAGGAGGCCTCTGGGGCTCTTGCTGCTTCTAAGAGTGATTGGGCGGAAGCTTCTTCTTGCCTAGTTTCCAGCCCCTTGGGTGACCGGAGCACTTTCCCCTCTACCCCAAACTGATGCAGATACCCCTAGAGAGTTGGATAACTTTCTTTTGTGGACCCCTAAGCTTGCCAGCACAGCCTCACCTTACTTAGCTCTATTTTTCTGTTCCAGGCAACTTCAGACTTCGTGGACAGCGACAGTGGCCAAGGGGCCAACTCCCTACTTTCCAGCCTTTTCTAGCGAGTTCTTTTGGTCAGCTAGCAGGCTCTTCAGTGGCCACCTAACTCAGGCACCTTGTAACCTTCCCTGGCGAGCCACACTGCCACTTCCCCAATGTTTAAATAGCCTCCCTTATCATTTATTTGGTTTCTCTACTAGCCCTCAGCATGCAGATGTCTGCCTCTGGGCCTTTGCACACACGCTATTTCCTCTGTGTGGAGCAGTCCCAGACAGTCACGTACGTATGCACTGAATGTCTAGATGGGCTCTGTGCCACGCCAGTCCCTGGGAACATGACCCAGAAAAAAGTCCAGGCCCTGCTCTCTCTGGGCCTACATTCTAAGAGGGTAGACAAAAAGTAAACTAATACATATGCCGACAAAATGATTACAGACTATATTAAGTGCTGTGAAGGAGAGGCTGGGACAGAGTGCAGGTTGAGCTCTGAAGCATGAGAGGAGCTGCCCATCTCAAGAGTGGGGGGAAGAGATGGGCTGCCTTTCTCACTTCCTGAGAAAAGTTTACATCAGGAAGTCAGAGTTTGCTCACCCCTTTGACCTGACTTGGTCATCTTGGGAGAAACGAAGCCAGGAAGCCATCTTCCCAAGGATAGGAATGGATGAAACTGGGTAGTGAACTCTTTCAGAATCCTGGATCCTTGCTGCCCTCGGGGTACGGGGGCAGGAATGGACCAGATTCTCCACCTGACTCCCGGCATGACCTTATGACACCCTAGTTGTGGGTGCCTGCAGCAGGTCTGTTGTATAGCACCGTTGTGCCCGGAGGGTACAGAGGGTGCACAGAGAGGCTCCCAGCTATGGACAGGGAAACAGGCAAACTGGAGGGGATGGGAACGGCAGA